CCCCCCTTATAATGTATAGCAGATTAGGAATGGAAGAAACAAGGATTTTAACTGTTCTACTTGACAGTTTGAGATACTTTAAAAAATCAAGTCATAGTATTTTGCAAGTAATATTTTAAGATTTCATGATATAATGCTTAAGCAAAAATTATATGGTTAGAAACCCATGTCTCTGTTACCTTACTCCCGTATTATTCAAAGTTGTCATACACTGTGTTTTTTTTCTCCGTTATCAGTAAGTATTTAGGTGGTGACTATACTTTCTGTTTACTTGCCCATATTTTTATCAGTGTAGCAAGCCTGTGTATCCATTTGGACTGGAACTCTTTTAGATTATAGAGTGTTGTTTTGATATTTCTCAATGGACTCCTAACCCATTACATCTTTTCTGCTTGTTAGAAACAGATTATGTGGGGTGGGAGTGAGAGAAATGACATAGTACTAAATAGACTCTTCGCAGTATTCTTCTGTGAAAGAATATCCACCACCGTTTGGATTTTCACTTGCCGTGTTTTTACAACTGAATGTCATCAGAACTTCATGTGGATCCTAGTGGTATATAAACAGAGCGTGGCTAAAACTTATGATTATGGCTTTATCATCATAAAAGCACCAAGTGGAAGTGGGATTCATGAGAGAGTAGCAAGATAGAAGCCATGGCTCATTAAAAATTCATCAATACTTGTCTTAAGTCTGCCAAAATCACCTGGATGATGCTCCAGACTTCTGGTGGAGTGTTCTACCAACAGATAATCCAAGCTACATGGATATCATCTGACACAAACCAGACACTGCCTTCCATAGTAGGAACTTCATACTAGCTGTCAATGATGGAGGTTGTAATGTTATGGTTTGGGGATGTTTTGCTGAAGAGTTTGCCATTGTTGAATGAAACACAAATTCTGCTTTTTAACAGAAAATTTTAGAGGAGAGTATTAGGGCATCTGTCTGTTAGCTGAAGGTAAATCACAAAGTGAATCAAGCAGCAAGACAGTGATCCCAAACTTACAAGGAACTCTACGTGAAAATGGATGTAGAAGAACAAATTCAATACTTGGAGTGACCAATTCAAAATCCAGACCTAAACTTCATAAAAATACTTTAGTATGACCCAAGTAGAGGAGCACATGCTAGTAAATCCTTAAATGTACTGATTTGAAGCAGTTTATCATGGTGGGATGGGTCAGAATTCCTATACAACAAAGTGAAAGAATAATAATCAATTAGCACCATTTGGTTGCAGTTAAAAGAAGTGAATTGAGTTACTGTGAGACTAAAGGGGTAGTTACTTTTTCTCCCTGGGGCATGGAATATTGGATGACTTGGTTTATGAAATGAAACAAGCACCAAGCATTGGTGTTATTTGTTCACTCCGATTTTTTATATCAGTAGGCTTGTATGAAATTCTGATACCTTACAGTGGCAAAGATAGGCAAATGCTCAGAAAACCCAAAAGGCGATGGATACTTTTTCATCCAGAATTGTAACTCTAAAAACTGATGCTTTGCTGGTATATGCATTTTAAAATTTGGATGTCAATAATTTATACCATAAAGAGAATTATTTGTCATATGTATGCATAATAACACATAACACAAGTTTTAAGGTAAAAATTAACAGATAGTTTGTATTGCTTTCCAGCTTTATTTATTGAAGTGTGATGTCCTGCCTTTATAACAAATTGTATTTTTGGTAGCTTGATGGTTCCATACAAATAACAATTTGAAAAGAGAAAAAAATAATTTTTATATGGATATAATAAAGAGTAATTAAGACAGGATTTGCCTTATTTATAAATAGAGTAAAAAATGGTATCAGGCTGCTGTTCCTTGGAATGAAGGTTTTACAAGTGACTGAGATCATAAAAAAGGCCACCTGTTTAACTTCATATGATGGTACCTGGAGGAGAACATACAATTATTTCTTCAGATTCATATGGTTATAGATGCTCCATTAAAGTACTTTCCCAAACTAAAGTTGAAAAATAATTATAATCCAATGTGTTTAAGAAATGGAGTTCAGTCGGCTCAAATGTCCATTAAAAGCTGCATCGCAGTGGCGAACAAGGTGATTCCCCTGCCTCCCAGCTGCTCAACTCGAAAGCCATTCAGAGAGTCTTGATTCTCCGCAATTAGCTCTAGAGGAACGGCTGTCTGGCGATCAAATGGGATGATTTCCTTGCTTCCTCCTTGATCTGGAGCAAGTTGGGCAGCCGGTGCTTGCTGCCAGCTACCAATCCAGCTGCGTTGTCATCTCTCCCAATTGCGGAGAGATGGTTAAGCCACCATGCTACCACAGGACGTACACATTTTTTCATTTAATTACAGAGGTTCCATTAAAGTACTTTCCCAAGCTGCTAAGGGCTTTAAAAGTCAAAGTAGTATGTTGAGTTGTGTCCAGAAACAAATTAGCATCTTATCACGTTCCCTTGGTGCAATAAGATCACGCTGATGGGCTGGATTTGAACCAGTTGAAGTTTCTGAAGGCTTAGCCAAGGCAGACCCACGTATAATAAATATTGCTAAAACATAACTCTGAGCAGGTTGTCCCTTTCCATGATGTAGTGTTGAATACACTTTTGTGTACAGATTTTGCCTAGAAGAATAAGCAACACTGTTAGAAATGTTGACAATTTTTTTTCTGAACAGCTTCATGGATGTCACTGCTCCATTATTTTAGACTTAAAGCTAAACATAATGATTGAAAAAAGCATAAAGGCCAGCCTTATGATGTGATACTCAAGTAACATGAGTCATGTTTCATGTTTTGAACCTCTTTGTACTTTTAGTATGATTTGCTGCTAATGTCTTACTTGTTGAGAACTTTTAAAAGGTTTGAAGCTGGAAGCAATGTCAGCTGTGTTTACACTAAGCTTATAAAGTTTTCATCTAATTAGGGGCTTTTACCTTTTTTTTTTTTTTTTGGCTTGTTTTGAAGTTTGTATAATGAAGTACTTTAATTCAAATATATTTTTTTTCTGCTAAACTATCCCCTTTCTGAGTCCCAGACTATTTAGATCCCCACATATCTGCTATTCATCTTACTTTAAAAGCCATCCATGCAATTCCTAGTTACAGATATGTTAGCATGTCTGATACTGCGCTCTTTGCCCAGCTTCCAGAGCCAAATACGTTGGCTAGATTATGTTGTTATTGCTCACAGTAGGTAAGTGAAACATATGCATGACAATTGCAAAGAATAGTTTTGTGGAGGTTAGATAATCCAGTTATTAATACTTGATTCTGAAGAGGCAAAGATGGATTGATATAATTAATTGGGTAATTACAGATTATTGAATAATAGTATCATATGACCTCAAGCTCTAGTAGTCCTACCTAAATAAAACTTTAACAGCTAGAAGTAAGAAAGTGCCTCCTGTCACCTTGGAGAGAAGTATTAAAGATGCATCCTAGCTCCACTCCCCCCCATATGAGAAAAATGTGTATGTATGTATGTTTATACCCTTTTTGTACCAAAATGATTTTATGTTGATTGTCTAAATGTATAAACTACATTCTTATGTACAATTTGCTGCTGTTGGCAGCTCTCCAAACAGTTTTCCTTCCCTCAGCCCCACAAATTGAGTTGGCATTTCTATTAGTTTTAAAGAATAGCTGTTCTTGTTTCAAACTTGTTAAAAAGTTGCCTTGGACACCCATTGGCTTGTTTTTCAGCAGTCCTCCTTTCTGGTATTTAAACTTAACTGGGGTAAAGGTTTTGGTTAGGATTCTATGTGTGTATGGAGTAAGAGAAACTACCAATTCAGGAACAGTAAAAAACTAAGATTTCCCTATATCTATACCTATGGTTTTAGATGCATGGATAAACCATTACAGCAAGAAAAACATTATTTTCTAGAAACTGTAATTTTCTAAAACACATCTACTCAATGGCATAATTACAACTTTTTTCACAGGTTTGTTAAAGTTCTGCACAGTAGGCTTTTGTGGAATTGGTAGTTTGATTGACTTCGTTCTGATTTCAATGCAGGTAAGTTCAGAATATCCAGCATAATGGTCATTGTTTAGATCTCAGAAGCTAATTAGACTTCTAGCAACAGACTTCAGGCACATAGCATTGCTAATTTTTTTTCATCTGAACAGTTGACTCCCATCTTGTGTCACACATTGTCAGAACAGGGAAGATGGCTGCAGGTCGTGTTCGTCACCCGATGCAGAGTTCACGAATGGAAGCAAAATTTTGCAAACACTGCTGTTCGCGAACCGAATTGTTCGTGAATAGAAGCGTTCGTGAACCGAGGTATTACTGTATGTCTGAAGATTTTTTGCATCTTAGATGTAAACAATTTTGTGAAACTTCGAGAATGAATTTTAAATATTTCTCCAACTTTTTCAAGTTCTTTAATGCTAATTAAAACTATGAGGCAGAGATTAGTTTTCAGTGGGAACAGCTTTAATATTAAAGATGGTGTTCAGAAGAATGTTTAAAAATTGGAAAAAAAATAAAAATACACTTCTACTTTGTATTTGCTGGATTGCCTTCAGTTATTGATAATACTGCTGCTTAGTAAAAATATTTGAATATTTTATTAAATGGATGTTTAAAAAATGCATACACATGTAAACCTCCATTTAATAAATATCCAACAGAAACATTTACTAGCACAAAGCTGCTTTTTAGAAAATTGGTTTCCACCCTTGCACACAAGTCAGATCTAATACATTGGTTCTGCTTGATCAAAGCTGTTAAAAATTTTTAAAAGTTAATTAAACTCCAGTATTTCTAGCTGTACTCCTAGCAGTTGAAGAACATCAGTTCCTATTTTTGTCCTGATGGGATGTTGGGTACACATTTTTATTCTATTTCCTACACACGTGTCTTTGGAATTAAATTTGCCCACATTTACTATGAGAAATGTACTTGAAATTATATATGTATCCAAACAACAACTGTACCTAAAAGCCATCAGTACTGCTCCTAGAGAACTCAAAAGTTATTTTCAACTTGTAATTTTTAATACAATAAAAGGGAAAAATCCAGAGAGCTTCAATGACTGATGCTGAACTTCGACCTGGGTCTCTGTTCCTAGTCCAACATGTTAATTACAATTCTACCTTAATATCTGAATTCAGAACTTCTCAAACTTTGTGGTATTGTGACTCTGTAAAATCTTAAATGAATTGGTACAACCTCCTCCTATCCTATAAATAAAACTAATAATTTCATTAGGATTAGGTTTGGCAAGAATTAAACATGCCTGTTTTTTCCAATTAAGTCGATATATTATACAGGTTGTCATACTTTGTGGAAGCCACCCACTGTGGGCTTACACAGGCAAAGCCAATGTTCTGTCAAAATTCTCTCCCACTTTGCCTGTTCAAGCCTGTAACTTCTTGGGGAAAGCAGCAGTCGTCCTTTTCTCCATACCTTTGCCCTAGGGCAAGTATAGCTTGTTTATCTGCTTATCAGTGTTGAAGAAAATTTCAGATGTGTTAGGAGTTTTATAGTTGTTTTGTGGCCATATTAAATGCAATATCGTTTGTATGTGTGTGTTTTGTACTATTTTAAAATTGAATTTTTAAAAATGTAATACTCTCTTTTCCAGATCGTGGGACCTTCTGATGGTTCTAATTACATAATAGATTATTATGGTGCAAGGCTTACCAGGCTGAGTATTACGAATGAAACATATAGAAAACCTCAAATATACCCTTAATCTTGCCAGTAAGTGCCTTAATCTGAATATTAAGAATGTTGTGTTTGACCAATATTGCTATTTTTGTCAAACTGAGATTATTTTATTCAAAGGCATAAAATAATAAAGCTATTTTCTTTCATTCATTTCACTTAGGATTTCTAAAACTGTCTCTAAAAATCACTTAATTGGAATGAGCTAAGGGAATCAATATGACCGCATTGCACGCATTTTCAGTATGGTTCTTGCCCTGCTTTTTGTCAGAATTGGTGGCTTTCTCCACTTATATACATAACCATCTTATACTAATAGACCACTTTTTCAGTGGAGACGAATTTATAATATAGTTGTCAACAACAAAAAAAGGGCATAAAAAATAAGAAAACTTTTCTGCATAGATATGTGTTCTCTAATAAAATTGATTTTGAATCATCTGTTTAACTATTCTAAAAAACATGTTTAATCCTTATATGAATGCAGAATCTATGAGCAAGATGAAATCCATATTTGTGAAGAAACATTTTAAAACCATGTTTCAACTCTAATACATGCTAGTGACAATTTATAGTTTATCATGTCCATTGTCCCATGTATTCAACCACTGTGTTTCATATAAAATTAAAAAGACAAAAATCCTGGAAATTGTTGTACCGACAAAACAATTCAAGAAAATTTGATCCAGTTGATCTTCTTCCTTGTCTTTTTCTCAAAAAACAAAAATATTTTAAATGTTGACAATCACATGCTATCAGGGCAGCTGCTAATTTTATATAATCATTATTTTTGCTCTTCCCCCATTCACAAACTCTCCTTATTTTGTGATTTCTAGGTAAATGCCAAATAGTGGGACATAGCCAAAACATCCAGAATTTGCATTTCATTCTTTTAAGCATGAGATAAACATCATATATTCATAAGTTTTGTTCTGTGTTTGGTTATTTTTAATTCACCCAAACCGTGGAAATTTAAAGACTATATTAGCCAGTAAACTGTAGTCACAGATTCCACCCCTGTTATCACTGGCTGGAGATAATTGAAGTTGAGGAGGCAGATACAGACAAGGGAAGAGTCAATTAAATACATATTCAGAAATCAAGAACCATTTTGGACATAAGAAAAAGCTGACTGCCTGCCTGATAGATAGGTTTACTGCTGCTTTTAAATACTTGGTTATGAGAAGTCATCATTCATGGCTGAATATAACGTTATCATTCCCTTTCTTTGCAAGTTGTGCTTTCTTTTCAGAAAAATTACCAGATTCAAAAGTATGATTATAGATGGGCTGCTAGGCTTTTGAACTGTTGAATTTCCAAATGCAACAGTTAACTGTGCATTTGTGGAAATTTGCAGAGGCAGATTGTTAAATACAAAAAATGTACTCTGTGCATGTACATTAGGAAGAAACCTCAGGCAAATGTGCGGTTATTTTGGTATTTTGGGGAAGTGTGTTTTTTGAATTATTGCTGTCATTCTTTTGCTGTTTGTGCAGAGTCTAGCAGCAAAACAAATTCTTAACTGTTGCTTCTGTTGTTTAATATGAGAAAACTTTTAAAGTTTAATCTTTTTAAAAAATCACTATCTTGACCAATTTTTCTGTGTCTAGATGAGAATTTTTGTCTAGAATCTATGTTTTTTTACTCTAGGACACCAGGTTTATTTTGATTTCCTTTTGTTCCCTATAATGTATCAAAATCATAACATTTTTCATTGTTAGCATATCTGTAAAGAATACATGGATCTTTAATGAACAGCAAGTACTGTAAAGTCATGCTATCAATATTGCAGCTTTCAGACCAAAATAGGGCATTCATAAGAGATGTCCAAAGACCTGACTTAATGTTCCAATTGTAGAATTCTATCTTCAGCAGCAAGACAATTGTAACTAAAGTCCCCTTATATCTATATTGACAGATTTTTCATATGATTCTTCTCAATCTTTGATCACATGCAAAGATGACATAAAATTCAACATGAAGTCATATTTTCAGAATAAAGTTACCTCTTATCCTGCTGTTATAAGGCAATTGTAATAAATAGATGATAACTTCCTATGTGTATTAAAGGCTTTAAATGTATTTTAAATGTGATAAATATCTTCATCCAGGAACAGAATCTGCACTTAAGTGGTGAAACTCATGAGATATTAATTATAGTTATCTAAGTTCAGTAAAGTTCTTCATCCCATTAAGTGTGTACTTAAGCTTTTTGTTACATTGGGCCAAGGTATTTGTTATATGAAGCTGTGGCAGCTACTTTCTAAGTAATATTTTTAATGGTATTAATCTGGATTGAATTAGTCAACACAATACAATCTAAGGCTTAATTTCAGAACTTGGGATAGACTGCAACATTCACTGTGGATTTTTGGATGACCATTTTCCTGCCATGTAAAAGTAAAACAGAACGATACACCTTCCAAGGGCACTGTTTGTAAGGGTTGAAGCTGGTGAAGCTCTGATTCTCATGCAAGAGAAAGCTGCAGAAAACATCAAGGTCAAGGAATGAATAGCCACACAAATATTGGCATGAAAAAGTGAGAGTAGAGATCCAAGATTCAAACATATATAAAGGAAGGATTCCTGTATGTTGTTAGATGAAGAATATATGTGTGGTTTCCTAATTTTCTGCAGTAAGTTTACTTCTTGAGTCAGCTCTGGAAAAGTGGGCTGGGAAGAGATTACTTGCTGTACCTGATACAAAACCTTGACATTATTGATAATTAAACCCCTACATATCTATGTATTTATTCTGTAAATAGGATAAAGGTGTTACTGGAGTATTCTAGTGAGTGGATGAATCTACTCACTAGGGAGAAATGCCACATGAGCATCAGAGATCTCCCTTTGGTATCGTACTTATCTGAGCTGTAGTTTGGAAGATAGTAAGAAACTTTATGTTTTT